GAACTATACCAAGCCTCCTTCCCTCCATCTCTTTCAATTTAACCAAAAGACCTTTGGTCTAGCAATAAGAACTGACTCTCTCAAATGAGAGGTCATAGGTTCAAGTCTCACTATGAGACATATGTAGTATTTTAGGAGTATGTTACTTAGTTTGATGTTTCAAAAAAATCATATTTTAGAATTACTTTTTATTAGTGAATTGTATTATGTTAAAATTAACCATTATAGTAACCTTGTAACTACCAGGTCACCCATTGCATAAATTGGGTAGATTTTCCGAAACACAATCTTCTAATAATAAATATTTTTGAAGTACAATATCATAATAAGAAAAATGAAAGTACAATGCTATAATGAAAATAAAAAACTTTAAAGGTACATTTTCATTACATTCACTTAGCTTTTTTTTAAACATGCCTAACGATTACAATGTTCTTTGATTATCATTTTTCTCTATTTCATCTTTTTATAAGATTTTGTGCATTTATATATGTTTATATATACAGGCAGTTGGTTTGGACTATTCTTCTAGAACCACAACGATAAATAATATGAATAAAGCATTGCTTTTGTTTCATCTTAATTTTATGCATGATGTTTTGTCCCACAATATTTTAAACTTGCATATAAGGGAACAGTTGCTGAAAATTAAAGTTATTTGTTACAATCTACTAAATTTAGTATCCTACTGTCAATTTTTAAAGCATTCTACATCATCTCACTTTGACTAATTTGAAAAAATATAATGATTACATCATCTACTTTTATTTTACTTCATTTTAAAGCATCGTACTTTCATATTCAACCAATTACAATGCCATACTTTTGTTTTAATTCTTTTTAAAGTACTACACTTTGGAAATCTACCAATTACAACATCCTCCTTTCATCAGTATACATAAATAAGTGAAATAGTTCATTGAAGCATAACGATCACCTCTGCCCGCCGCAAAGCGTTGGATACCCCCTGGCTATTTATTAACCATTAAAACGACACCCTTATTTAGATTATCTAATACGACCAAAATTAAAATCCTAAATTATCTAAAACTTAGATGTAAAAAGGACAAAAACCACAAAATTAGTTTATTATGTGTTCTTATAAACCTGTTGAAAGCAAGGAAGTCCGTAATTTGCCATGATTCCACCATTAAGAATTAAGCGAAAACCCTAACATCAACCATCACTTGGATCCTATAGGATGCAAGTAGAAGATTAGATTTGACTTTTTGTGTAAGGACAAATGATTTTGACATTTTTGAAATGGTCTTGACTTGCTTTTGAGTCTTAGAGTTCCAATTGTTTTACATATTGCATCTTATGGTGATATTCTCCTTGACCCTTCACCAAATGAGTTTATAAAGGCAAAAAGTTGTATGATCTTGAAAGGCCCATGTCTCTTTTGGCTCTTACAGTGTCTTTTAAACATAAATAACAATAATGTTCATTATATATGTCGGTCCAGATAGTATAATAAACACAACCTAATGAGCATTAATAGTCAAACTGAATAATTTTTTATATTAAAAATCTTTTGATTGCAAGGAGAATAATCTAAGGTGCTGTTTGTTTTTTCTGATGCAAAATGTCGGCAGTCTGCGGACCACATCTGTAGACCTCTGCAGTAGAAGAGGTGCACCAAACGTCTGCAGTCTGAAAAAAGAAGACTGTTTGTTTTTTTAACATCTGCGGACTACTAAAATAAACTGAAATCTAAATGAACTGAATTTTTTAAACTTCAAAGTGATTTTTTAATATTTTTATGACTTTGTTATAAATAATTAACAAATCTAGATCAAATTTTATCTATTATTGTATAAAAAATAAAAATAAAAATGGTATGAATTAACATATATATTTGATAAAAACCAACAACTTTGGTTGCAAACTTATAACTAAACATTATAATTAAGGATCAAAGAATTTGATACATAAATGGATGAAAATAAACTTCGATTTTTTCAATTAAATCCATTAAAAACGTACCATAAATATTTTCTCGAAAAATTGACGATACTGTATTAAATAATGTTTTACAAAATTTGGCAAAAAAATATAAGAATATATTATGATTTTTTTTCATATTTATATAAACAACTTCAACGACTATTATTGTAATAAATCTTTATTTATAAATTTGTCAAAAATATCATGTTTGTATCGTCGAACGTTTTTTTTTTAAGTTTTGTATTTTTTTTTCAAATTGTTTATCATTAATAAAGTTGGAAAAAATATAAAAATAAAAAAAAACTTAAAAAAATAAGGATATATGTGTTTTTTTTAAGCTAGAAGATGTCTGAAGATGTTAGAAGACTCTGGTCCACATCTGCGCCAAGAATAGGGCGCGCAGACATTTTTAGGTCTGCAGTCTTCAAAAAAACAAACAGTCTGCGAAGGCTAATGTATGCGTGTGGTCTGCGCGGCGCAGCCATAATTAGACCTGGCAATCCGTGTCTGCGTGTCGTGTATTCGTGTCAGACACGAATTTACACGACACGAATTTGCTAAACACGAACACGACACGAATTATAAAACGTGTTTGGGGTATCAAACACGAACACGAAACGTAAAAAAATCGTGTGACACGTGACACGACACAAATAGACACGTTTTTTAGCCGTGTTACACGAAAAAACACGAATATACACGTTTTAATGGCTTTTTAAGCTATGGCTATAAACTAGTTATTGACTTTTACAAAATTGGTCCATAATATATTATAAATACAAAATTTAACCCTAAAGTATATATGTGTATATATGTGTTTATACGTGTTTGTACGTGTCACGTGTCAACACGAATTTGTATCGTGTCTTATACGTGTCTAAACAGGTAAATTCGTGTTTGACACGTGTAAGACACGAAACACGAATTTAAAATACGTGTCAGACACGAATAAACACGAAACACGAATTTATAAAACACATACACGGAAAACTCGTATCGTGTTCGTGTCGTGTATGAAATTGTCAGGTCTAGCCAGAATAGGTCACGCAGATCTGCAGACAAAAAACAAACAACACCTAAGACACACATCATATTACAAAAAAACACTTAGAATTATAAATTGAAAGCTCATACAAAACTTTCAAAAAAATAACACACAAAAGAGTGTATGTTATAAGACTAGGATAACATAAATACTAATCTATCTAAACTGATCATCCGAAGTAATTATCGCCATACATATGTTGTACTTCTTAATTTTAGCAAGTATTATCTTTATATTTGTATTTAATTAAACTTCAACATGTTTTATGTTCATTGGCTTCAATAGTCGACACATGTCGTTGAAATTGTCTTCATGGAAAGGTCTTCTAAATCTAAGCTAACATATCAACTAAGCTCATAACTAATTAATTACTAACTAATAACAAACCGACTTTAACTAACATAGAGTAAATTATAGAAATGCTCTTTGGTCTCTAATACAAAACAAATTTAATTAATGAGATTTTGTTTTTTTTTTCTTTTTTTTTTTGGTATTTTTGATAAATTTCTTTCTAAATAAACACAAGCTTAATGGCCTCTTTGATCCTTTTTAGTTAAAAATATTATGAACAATTCACTTTCATTGATAAAAACCTAATTAAAAAAACAAATAGAACAACATATAAATCAAGTCAAATCAAAGCAAACCAATCCATATTTACATTCTAAATAAAAAAAAGTTGGTGCTTGCTTTTTCTCCCTTCTATTTTTTTTATTTTGCATTTGCTCATTTGTTTCCTATACTTTGTATACATCTATATATTCCACCTTTTAATTTTGAAAAATGACATTTTCTTCCGTATACTTTTTAAAATGATGCTTTTACCCCCCTTAATTTGAATTTTTAAAATGTTACTTTCATCCCCTCTATTGTTCACCCTCTACATTTTAAAATATCGTTATTATCCCCCTAACTTTGAATTCTTTTTAAATGTGACTTTAACCCTTCCATTTTTTGAACTTTCATGATTACCCCCTTATACAGTTACCACCCCTCTACTATGTAAAATGTCACTTTAAACCCCATTCGTTAAGTTATAACAGAAACTAATTTAATATGTGTTTATTTTTGTTAGTGTTTCGACGTAAATTTAGAAATTTCATCTGTTAATTTTTTTTCAAAAAAATTTCTTGCTTTTTTTATGTACGTATCAATATAAATTTCAGTTTGTCTACGTTTTTTTTTACGTTTTGATATAAATATTTTTTACATTTTTGTGCTTACTTTTAAGCATTTTGCTTGACATGGCTTTGTTCTGTGACTTTTGTGCTTTAGCATCTTACGCCCTCCTAAGTTTTTATGCATGGTTTTGGTCCCTGACTTTAGTGGTTTGGCAACTTAAGTCCTCTTAAGTTCTTATTTTGCTACTGAAAAAATTCATTTTCTTAAGGGTTATTGTCACTGTAGCCCAATAATGTTTTGTATATTGGTTTAAATGGTCCTTCATTTTTTTTAAGGGTACGAATTCATGTTTTTAAGGTTTAAAAAGTCATTTTGAAAAAATTGAAGGGGGTCATCCGGTGAACCCTTCCTAGTCAGGTTTTAATATGCAAAGTCAATTATTAAACTCCCACCTCAATTGCCACGTTACAAGACTGGCAATAACCCTAATTCAATAGCGATGGCCATGAAATCAACGAAGACTCCGTCTGCTTCTCGTTTTAGAGAAAATCAATAATCATGTATGAATTTCATCACAAGACATCGAATGTTCAAATTAGAAAATATAGCAGCGGTGTATCTTCCGATTTCAATCAACATTCTTTTGGTTCTTCACAATGTTCTTCAGAGTCGGTTTTTTTATAGTCTTCAATCAAGGATTTGTGTTGAAGTTGTTGAAGGGCGTCTATTAGATCTGTCTGGTCGAAGAGTGTAGGGTAGTAAGTGCAGGCTTTTAAGCATACCGATTCAAGGCCGGATGGCATTGGAATGGCACCGAGGTAAGGTTAAACTTGTATAACGAAGGTGAGATCTGGACCATCCGTTTCCTGACCTTGGAAAACTCTCCCTACAACACTGCCTCCCCAAAATCGATAGTCATTGCCTTCATCCCCTGGCTTATCCATTTGACCATAGATTTCCCCAAATCTTTCCGGCCAAGAGGATCACCATTTTGAGATAAACTACGCAAGTTGACTGGTCTATCTTCGGTTCTATCTACCTGCTTTCCTCTGATTTCTAAGTAATTATCATCCACCACAGGTTTATAGTTGATTTTCGTACGGGAGATATTCTTACATCCGAGTTTTTTGTTGTAGTTGTTGTCGGTGCCGGTGTGTCGTCGCCTCTTGGTGGTGCTGATACTAACGACGGTTTTCGTATTGGAACTATTCCTGATGTTGAACCGTAATGGAAATGTCCAAGACGATCGCGAAGGGGAGCATCCATGAAAGGAAGAAGATGAGAATGAGGAAATTTTCAAGTCAAAGTAAGGAAATCGGAGGAGGGTTGGTGATGCTTTCATCCTCCATCTTTCAATACTTACAATTCTATTTGTTGTTACAGTCACACATCCCACACCAAAGTCGCTTACTCGCGTCACCATGTGGATGATGTTCATGTTCTGTATGCTTATACATTCGGCAGTTCCGCGATGCCCGGTTGTCATAGTGGAGAATATTTAAGTAAACAACATGCAACAACCTCCTCCACTCCTTCAATGGGAAGGTGGAAGCCACGTGGCAAAGGAATCTCCTTTCTCTTTGATTCAAAATTTTAAGAGGAAGATAAAGATTCTTGTAAACGTAAAGGGCTCCTCTTATTAATTACAGAGACGACCCTGGTCATAAAAATGGAAGAAATACAAAAGCTTCTCGCTGGTTTGAGCAGGATCACAAGTTGGGTAGTGAAAATGTATTCTCAGTTCTTTAATTTGTTTAAGAAAGAATATTGATGTGTTTAAGAAAGAATATTGATGTAGAAATGGAAGATCTGAACAAAAGCAATGTGGGTTGAAGCTTGAATTTAAATGAAGATGAAGAAGATGGAGATGGTGGTGTTGATGATGAACAAGGTAGATTAAAAGAGGGGCCCATAAATTTATTAACAATTTCTTTTATTAACAAATTTACGTGGCAACGATTAGTCGACTCACTACTGAGTCATTGTTGACTCCACTGCTTAGTTGGTAATTGAAAAGGCAGTGTAACCTTCAAAAATGGGTAAATAGACAAAATTAATAGGTAAAACACAAATTTGTATCCTTCAAAGACCAAAAAAAAATCACGATGAACCATTTAAAATAATATATGAAATATTGTTGGACTACAGTGACAATAACCTTTTTTAAATCATTATTGTTAATAACATAACAGTAAATGTAACTTCTCCACATAATCACAATGACTCCAAACTCATCTTTCCATTGCAGGTGGCATCTTTAGTGCAGCGTTTGGTGGTCCTACCCAACCTATTACACAAAGGCAACCTTGTTGAGCCAAATAAATCATAATTTATAGTGAAGTGGGAAATTCAGTAAACTAAGAGTAAAATATATTTTCTCTATCTCAAATTAATAGTTTATGTTTTATTTTTGGTTTGTTTCAAAATAATAGTCTGCTTCTAAAAATAAATATCACTTTTACCAAAATACCCTCATTATTAGTTAAACTACCGTTGAATTAAATGCAACTACCATGAAATTAAATGTAACAAAATGGTACAATTGTCATTTCATTTAATAATGTTAATGATAATTAATATCTTCTTGTGTGTTTTTTGTATGCGGACTATAATTTTGGGACGGAAATGAGTATTATTTTGCTGTTTTTTAATAACTAAATAATAATAACTAGATAATCAATTGTTAAAGTGTTTAAAAAAAATCTAAATAACTAATAACCAGTTAACCAAAAAAAACATTTGTATGCATTATTAAAGTATTTAAATTTGTAGATTATCGATAAACTTTCATAACTTTGTCTATCTATAATTCCAACAACTAATTCTTTTTTCCTAATAAAATAATTTACATTAAGAAAGTTTGATTAAAAGTCTTGAAAGTAAGGTAAGAACAATGAATAAATAAATGATTTTAGTTCCTTTAACATAATCAATTTCGTTGTAACCAACCTTTGGATGGATCAAGCCCTCTGTTCTTGAGCTCAGTATGTTCTTGACAAAGAGCACAAGCATCACAACAGCAATGAACACAACAATCATTACAAGGATCAGAAGGTAAACCATATTTGGATCGCAGTTTTTCTCTAAACATGCACGCATACAGCCAATGGCACTGAACAATCATCAAGACGCCATAGATGAAACCTTGAGCCACACAAGCTGCATGTATATACCCTTCAGTCAGCAAATCAGATCAAGGTTCGACATGCATGGGAGACATCAGTTAGTTTACTTACAACTTTGACCCTCGTCAACCACCTCTGCGATCTGACCAAAGGTGATGCATGGGAGACAGCATGTTATGAAACCTGCAAATTAAACCATTTTATCCATCGTAAAACTAAAGTATACATAATATTGTATACGTATAGAAAGAGGGGTTGGTGGTGGTGGTGGTGGTGACTTACATGTCGCCGGATTGCTGCCACAATCACAGAGACCGGTGGACCATTTTGATTTAGCGGAGGGATTGTTGATGTTCATTGCTGATCGATATTGATCAGAAACATGTGGATTACTAGAGGTGTTATATATGGTTAACGTTATGAATTGGCCGTACATCGGCCGGCTGACAATGATGGATAAAGACGAATATGCTTGTATGGTTCCTAGAAATCGTCAAGTGGACTGTAAGTTATATTTTGTTTTATCGAACCATAAGCTAGTTGTGAAGTGAAAAACATAGTCTAAATCGGATCAAAATGACAAGAAAAAAACTACAAATAATAATGTGTCAATGTAACTTTAAACTTAATAAACACTAAAATTCTAAACTGAAACTAATATTTTATTTTTAAATTTCTAAATTTATAATAACTATTTATGAAATATAATTTGATGCAAGTATAATATAATATAAAATCAGGAATCTATCTCCATAAGTTCACCCGGTCCGCGGATCCACAGTGTAAGAAGGGGGTCCATAGACCCCACTTAAAAATTCATTCTAACCTCCATTTTATTAAGCTAGCTCTTAAAAAATTCATATTTTGCTCAAATCATCCTTTTGGTCATCCATTTTTGCTGAAAAAAACTATTTTTGTAATATTTCTTACAAAAAAACTCCTAAAAAGTCTCAAAAATTTCTGTTTTTTTCTAGTTTCAAATTTTTGTTTCATTTTTTTATATAAGATGAACTCTATTAATATTTTTTTTTAGATCCGCCACTACCCCGGTCAATACGTCCCCTACCTTTGTCGGTTTCATATCGTATGTCATTAGTATGGCCTCCTTCCTTGTGTTTTCTTGTTCGACTTTTTAGTTTTTAATTTTTATAATTTGACCAATAAAGTTTTTAACTAAGTACTTTAAAGTTTGTATATGTGTTTTGATCATCATATATATATATATATATATATATATATATATATATATATATATATATATATATATATATATATATATAATTGTTTGTGATCATTTTAGTTGAATAGCCACTACAAATAAAATGACAATTAGTGGCACAAAAAAGTGCCACTAAAGCCCTTTGGTCAATGCGGCACAAAAGAAAATAGTGTCACTAAAAGCGCTGCCACTAAAGGCCTTTAGTGACATTTTTCAGTTGTGTCGCTGCAGCCTTATTAGGTTTTAGTGGCACTTTTTATTATGTCACTAAAGCACTTATAATTTTAGTGGCATTATTTTTATACCACTATTTAACTACTAAAATAAATATTATTTTCATGCTTGGTGACACTTTTTTTACCACAAAAAAAACTATATTCATAAATTAGGTCTGATTTTTTAATTTTAAACGGAATATAAAATAATAACAAGACAATTAAGATAATAAATGAAAAAAATAATATCATTACTTTAATTCAAACTTGTCTAACAACAATATTTAAAACAAAAATTTCTTCAAGAGAGTTAAATAAGTCTAAATGCTATGCTAGTACTCAAAGCATAATACTATCGAACTAAATATTTGTTGCGGAAGAAACACGGAACTTTGTTAACCTCGAACTAAATATTAGCACGTGAACTTCAAGAGTTCCCGGTAAGTGTCGGTTTTTACTTGACAAGGGTTTTCAAATGTTTTTGTTTTCCCGTCTTTACATCTAAAAGCTTTATTAATTCTCCATCTCATTGGACTACCATTTCTTGCTCCCTTTCTTGCTCTCTTCCTTTGAAACCTAGAATTCGAAAGGGAAACAAAATTGTTAACTACAATAATTCATAAATTCATATATGTCGAAATGGAAGCATGTATAACTAAAAAGATACAAGTGTGAGTAAACTCATATATGTGCCCTTTATCTATCATATCATACTCGTTTAAGTATCAGTAAAACTATTTAGAAATGGAGGGGTCGAAACCAAGTTTTCAAACAAAAACAATATAAAGATGTTCATGGATTATTTTTTTGATATTAATGTATACTATATAACGAAATTAACTAATATATATATATATATATATATATATATATATATATATATATATATATAACAAAAAAAATAATCAAATAGATATTATCAAACAATTAGTTATTTTTACAAAAGTATATGCGAAAAAACATCACTCAAAATTTGATTCATCTTCACCTTCTTCTTGATTAAAATATGAACTTTAACTTGAACTTATTATCTTAGACATTTCATCAAACAAGTTGTGTGCATCAGAAAATTCATTTATAATTTAAAGCCCTTCATAAATTTCTTCACCTAAAATTATTTCAAAACATAAAAATAGGATTAAATACTTGAATTTTTCATAGAAATCAAAAATCTATCCAATTATTAATTCATCCTTTGAATATTGTTGATCCAGTACTTGATAAAAACTTTAGGAGCACATAAAGAACATAACCTCTTGAATACGTTTTAAGTGGAGAGAGAGAGAGAGAGAGTGTGAGAGAGAGAGATTAAAGGCTGAACTGAATAACCTAATACTTCAAACAAACATTAATACCCATGGTGTTAAATACGTTTTGAATATTGTTGATCCAACACTTTGAACAAGGATTAAATCTTTAAGTGTTCTTCAAGAACTTCCCAAATATCCAAGCCTGAGACTAAAGCAATCAGTTGGCCAATTGTTTTCAGGTTCATCAATCAAAAGGTGAGACTAGAATCAAGACCTCCTGTAATCAACAATTAAGACCTTTGTCTATATGACTATAAAAGTCTCAAATTTTATATCTACACAATTCATTACTAAAAGATAAATATTTTAAAAATCAAAGAGCATATAACAGCTTTTCACACCCTAAATACATCACCTGTTTCAACAAATCAAATGTAGAAGGGTGGGGGTTACCTGATATGAGAGACGCGAGTGCTAGAGTGAACTAGGAAAGATTGTGAGGCACATCCTTGTTGAGGAAAGGCAAAGGTCTGGAGAGACCTAGTGATTAACATCGCATGTAACTCTATTAATAGATGGGATGAGCTAAATATTTGTATTTAACAAACTGAAATGAGTAAATTGTGACTATATACATTATCACCTCGGAAAAGAAAAAAATATATAAATCTACAATCACAAGTATAAATCATCAAACTCCTACCAATTAAAATATAGAGAGGAGATGGTCGAGTGGTTGATGGAGAGTGAAATTATTTAATAATGCATACCTGATTAGAATTCGTGTTCATCATGAGGGAATAACGGAAACCCTAAATCTGCTCCAATGTGCGATAAATCTGATTTTATATACCATATCATCCGATCCTTTGTGACATACATACGCGATTGACCTTCGAAATATAGCATACATCATATTTTAATATCTGATGTGGTAGAAGAAAAAGCCTGGAGATTGAGGGGATTATTGGAGGTTTATGTTTGATCCATAGAAGATCAAGACAGTGTTCCAGTGTTGTTAGTGACGTCCGTGAGGAGGATAACTAGTGGTGCTCCATTCATCGTCGTGGGGAGGAAACAAAGAGACGTGGAGAGGTGGCTTGAAGAAGCGGCAGTGAGTTTGTGAGGATGAAAAGATGAGTGTTTTATTCCTTAGTGCCATTTGATTTCAAGAAAAAAGAACTGACCATTTGATTTCACCAAAAAAGGGCGGACTATGGAGAGAATTAGGAGCCGGACATTAAAAATAGAATTTTAAGTAGATATAGGGGCACATGAATAGATGTGCCATTAAAAAGAATGATATAGTGGCACAAAACAAAATGTGTCATTAAAGTCTCGTGCCACTAAATGTAATTTTATTTGTAGTAAGTGTGTAAATAAACATAATTGAATTAAGCTACATATTTGAAATGTGATTATCCACATAGTGTTGGAAAATTAGTTTTATTAACTTCCAAAAATATGTTTTTTCCCATTTTTTGAGCATGAATTTCGGACTCTAAATATAATAAAAATGTATAAAAGATTATATGTTCATGTTCACATCTGTGATACCTTCATTTTGATATATCACACGTCCAAAACGAATAAAAATTGAATGAAAAATTATATGTTGAAGTGAGGTTTTGGAAGTAATTAATTGGGTTTTTTGCTTTATCCCAAATATGTGGGAAGAAGAAAAGAAAATGAGTTTATAACTACAATGGCTTCTTAGCTTTGTAAGACTTATAGAACCATGACCTTCTCTTGCCTCGCGCACGCAACGGGGGTGTAAATGTGAGCTAGTTTGGGTTGGGTTCATTAAACGTGTGTGCGGGCACGGGTACGAATGCACCACTGGTCGACTAGATTCTTTTTCGTACTGAAACTGTACCGATTATAAACCCGAATTTAACAGCCATTAATCATATATTTCGGTTTTGATTTCTTAATTAATTGTGTCATTTAGTTTGACTGTTACGTTTTGCAATATAAATATTGCATCTCTTTCACTGATTGGGTTACACCAGATTATCATATCGTCTCTTTCTCTCTTCCAATTCCGTTTCTGCTTCTTCCTCCTGCTGAAACCAAGGTATTTTTCGGGCCAAGTGAGGGTTCGAACAATCTTGAAGAATTGCTTAGTGTTGTTGTATCCTGGGAAACAAACACTCATATAGGGCAAATTTGTATTACGAAAATTGTGTCATACATAGGCCTTAACAACAATTTACTGTTTTTTCTCTTCGTACAGGCGATGGTGGTAGTGGTTGGTGGCGGGGGTGGTGGTGGTGACATGGAAGAGGTGGTGGTAGAGGCTATGAAGTGGTTAGCACAAAGCACCCCACTACATGTGTAAGAACCTGAAATTTAGATAAAGTTGACTTTAAGTCAACTGTTGACCAAAAGGGGCAAAATGGTCAATTGTGAGAAATAAATGAGATAATGAAGTTATGACTTCATAAAAATAGCCAAAAATAGTTTAAGTCACTTAGAAGATGCTATATAAGTAAGTTCAAGAGAATGAATGCATGGGAAGATGCATTTTTGGTTAAAAGGGTAAAATGGTATTTTATGCTTTTTGGCCAAGTTTGTGACTTAATAAATTAACACCCGTATTAATTCAGTGAGATATGACTTAACATAAGTGTATATTATGTTCCCACCTTCGTGTAGATATAAAGAACATCGA